AATGAACTGATTTGAACTGACGTTGATTGCCTATTTTTTTTGAAATAAAATTTGTTTAATTTGATATTTTTACATGAGAAATCGATTAAAATATCTTCAGCAATGAGTTTGTCTTTTTACTTTCATAACAAAAACGAATTACTTGAAGAAGAAAATTTGATAAAATTGTCTAAAATTGGTTGAATTTATTTTTATTTTTGAAATAGCGAATTGATATCAGATTGTTTTCATATGACAGTTTTTATCGTTTTTCTGGTTACAGAAGTTGGTTTCAATCAATTTTTTCTCAGTATCTAAGAAGAGTCAAGGACAATTGATTCTTTCACATCTGTCTTAAATAAAGGCACTGAGACAGCATGATACTAATTAATCTCGTTTCTGTGAAACTAACATTTGCAGATGAAAACAAACAAATACTTGTTAACAGAAATATGAATATCTTTTGAAAGAGAGAATTGATTTATATCTGGAAAACAGGTATGAAAAATTCATTACACAACTCATTCATTTTCACGTAGATAGTGAAAAGGATAGAAATTTTATCCAAAACAACAATAATCTAATTACTAGATATTCAAATACACAGAAAATTCTTCATTGCAATAAGTATTCATCAAGTAACCATTGCTTTAAGATCGAATATATTTTTGTTTAATAAATAAACTAATTTTTAATTAAATAATGGGTGATGCACAAGTGCTGCATTAATTTGCTTTTCATTCCTATGTCGTGCGCAAGTATTCTAGACTCTTCCATATTTTTTGGTTCGAAAGAGCCAAGTGCCTACTACAAAATTGTGCAAAAATATTTGTTGCCAAACAGTTATCGAAGATTATAAAACTTTAAGGACAAAATGTAGTGAAAAAGTACTTTGCAAGTTTTTGAATTTCAAAGAAACAATTCGTCCACACAGAAAGTTGATCTTGTTTTCTGGTTTTAAACGAGTTTTATAGTACTGCGATCGAGCATTATAAAACAAGAAGAAATGAAATTGTGATATGACTGGTTGACTTCGAAATCAACATCTTTCTAATATTGTTTGCTGATAGAGAAATTTTACTGTTAATGAATGATCTCGAAAAATGAGGTTTCTTTCAATAATGAAGATAGCAGATACCACCTGTTTCGTACCCAATTAAAGCTTATGAAGTTCTCCACAAAATTACATTATACGAAATAGAATACAGAATGTTTGTTAGATGTTACAAAAAAGAAAAGCTTCATTGAACTTTCCTAACGAAATGCCAATTTTTATGTACAATTGTTGCCTCTGAAGCCAACGATCTTGTAACTAGAATATTTTGATGTAGTTAGAAAGTACGAATCGCTTTGATTAATCTCCTATATAATGTACCTCAAAATATCAAAAGTCAAATGCCAAAAAAAATCAAAATAGTGCACTTTTATCCTCAATTTTTAGTTAAGTTGAAGGCTACTTTTCTATTACAACTTGTTCTTAAAGCCTTTTGATCGTTGGTAATCATTTAAAAACAAATATTTTTGCGCAACTTTATGATGGATACCTTGCTCTCTCAAACAAAAAAAATCCAAAAGTCAAGGATATTCGTATACCGTACAGGGATGAAAAGCAAATGAATGCAGCATTTTGGCACCAATCGTCAAATATAAGACATATAAATATTTACCTAGGTATTGTAATTTGTTTTTATATGACTTAACCATTTTGTATTGTATTCCTTTAATCGATCAGTTACTAATATTGCTTCGTGAAAAGTTCAAACAACAGATGAAATATTAACGATTCAAAAAACACGATTTACATTAGATTATTTGACGTTAAGGGTAATCTACTGATCGCTTATGTCGTATAATATGTTTTGTTCATATAGCAATCCTTAGTAATGAGAACTATAGTTGAACAACTATGTCCAGATATTTGGCAACAAGTATTTGAATATTTTAATCTCATCGAGTTATTTTATAGTCTTGTGCATGTAACTATCGCAGCAGATGAAGTGTTATTTAATAGAAATTACCATCTTCAATTACGACGACTTGTGGTCAATGCTTATGTTGAAACTCTTTCAGAAAAACTTTCGCTAAGCCAAGTCATCTCACTTGAATTGTACCAAGAAAACTGCCTTGATATTATTGAAAAATGTTTCGAAGTTCGTTCACTGAAACTTATTGGACAGTCCGCATGGGTTATTTGTCTGCTTAGAAAATTTTCATACATCAATATGAAACTCGAGCAGCTAGTCTTAGTAGTATTCAGTATTGGTTCATTGTACGGTTTACTTGGATCTATTACATCTCTATTTTCATTGCGTCGACTAGCAATTTACGCGAATCAATCGGTAGAAAAAATAAAAACACATCCTCTGTCCGTGGCACAAACAAAAATTGAACATTTTAGTTTGAATTCATGTTCATCTACGAGCTGGAATGAGTTGTCACAGATGTGTCCTGTTCTGTCTAATATTCGCTTGCTTGATATTACTCTCTTCTATGATAACAAAGATTCATTTTGCGGATTTACTTTTCCAAAACTCCGCTATATTTGTCTCACATTACTGGAAGTTTCATTTGAATGGATCGTTCAGCTTGTGAAAACAATTCCTTCTCTCAAAAAACTTAAACTAAAAGGCCTCATTGATGCTGAAGGATTTGTTATCAACCATAAATGGCTTAATATATTTGAATCGTGCTCTTCTCTTGATACAGTCACTGTAAACGTATCACTGGAACAAGGCACCAACTTCTTTTGTATTGACGTGATTCACACAGCCTTACGTGAAATCAATCTAAATTTAAAATGTATTGACAATGATTGCGAGTATCATTCAGACAGAAGAAATCAGCACTGTCGGTGGAATTTGTCCGGAATAATCGTCAAACAACATTGACATGCATAATTGGAACAGAAAAGTGTACTCCTGTTAGAGTATTCATAAAAAATCATATGAAAATGACAGAGAATTTGTCTTTACTCTTATATTATTAAACGTTTTAATGAGTCTACTGAATTGGATCTTTCTGTAAACGATGAATGTGAAATCTGTTATAGACTTCTTTAGGAAATGAATCACTTGATGAATTCGTCTGCTTACATTTTTATTATGCTTAGAAATCATTTGTCAGTTACTGCTTTACCTAAATGAGATTGTTTCAGATCGATTTAAAATGTGTGACACGAGTCTTGATAAAAATCAAATTTGTCAAAATAGCTTGAATATATCCCAAAATCAGTCACTTGACTGTGAACGATGTGAACGGGCTTAAAAATTTCTACGGATGTCGAGTCATTTGACAGTAGCATCGGAAGTGGAAGATAATGAAGAACCAATTTCTGTTACTGTAGTCATTATTCGTACAGTATGTGCATAATTTTATTTGTTTTGATCTCGTAAGTTATTTCAAGTTATTTTAGGATGAGGAGTTGATGGTACCGCTACAGATAATTCCATCAATAGAATTTGGTAACACCAAGCACATTATGGATGTTGTGGGTTGTGGAGTATGTGAGTGTGGATGGGGTCTGGATGTAGATGTTTGTTTTCTTTACACCTGACACTCACATCCGCAGCTGCATCCACTCATCCACCCACACCTATACCCAGCCTTCTTTGCAAGTAAAGCCATGTAAAGGGCAAATAGCCAAGATTAACAGACTAGCCATCATTTTCGAACAGGCAAAGCAACGTTATGGTCACTATTTCGTTTAATTTGAAATTATTATATATTCACAGGACCTGTTCAATGCCTGGCAAGGAAGATCATTCTCTACGTCTCCAACGTCAATAACTCGACTTATCGTTTCGTCCGCATCTATCTATCGTTCAACTTTTGATTGTGAGCTGAGAAATATTGGTTTTTCACTATCATAAATAATTCACGCATTTATAATTGCGACCGTTAATGAGCATATAAAATAACAAACGTATCCATTTTCAAGAAGATGACTATAGTAGTCTTTCAACTTTCAGATTGATTACTCTGCTTCAGTGTTGTTTTTAATGTGTCACTTTGTCTTTAATCCTTGCTATTGTATTCATAAAAAGTAACAAGGCAATAGAAGCTGAAAACAGAGTTTTCTGTGTGAATTATCTTTTGATCTTTCTTCATACATTAAAAATAAAACAAGGCTCTAATGAACCAACATTGGTCTCGTCCGTTTCAGTCAAAATTTCTTCTTCATTTTCCATCTTTTCTGCTTTCTTTATCATCATTTATTATAGATGTTCTAGAAAATCATCTTCACTGTCTTACATAAACAGTGCAGATCAAAACAAATTAGTAACGAGCATCACAAACACATAACTTGATTAATTGTTCAAATTCCATTCTTAATTCCTACATTAATTACTTAAGTAGCTTATCTCTAACCATAGTTTTCGGAATTCATTTAGATTGATAAATCATATATAAGAGATCGACACTGGTCGATCGAGATAGTGATCATAATGTATTGGAAAAAGCTTTTGTATTCAAATAAAATGCAGTCACCTTTGGTGGGAAAGTTCTAACTCACGAGGGAACCGTTTGAGGTGATTCCCTCCTTTTAAGCTCATATTTATGGCACATATAGGGGATCTCTAGACTAGAATAAATCCCAAAGGATTTGGGCCCATAGCCTTTCTATCATGAAATATCGAATTTTCAAGTTTCTGATAGTATAACGATTCTGACTGGTATACCACTACAAAATATCGCAAACAAAAACGTAATACAAGCTAATTTTTTTTTGCATAATGTATACGATCATTAGTATGTCATTTTGGAGCTTTTCAACGTTTAATTCATCTGTCTATACCATGCAATTTTGTGTAAATACCAGAACACCAATAACTGTATCAGTTTAATAATGGTAAATGAAAAGAAATGCGTATTTTATACATTTTATCGCGTTCTGTTATAGTTTATCATAGAGACTGAATTATAGCTATTGACGCATAAGAAAGTATTTTGTGAAATACGTGATTCTGGCGAGTATTCATTGTATAGTATTTTATTTTTTATTCCACTGTTTAATCAGAACCATGATTAGTCCTACAAGAATTGCGAAACTGTTACTCGAACGAGTGACTGAAAACGAAGGACCACACCATCGCGGAACAAGATCAAGTTTACGTGAGGAAGAAATCATCAATTCCTTACTTACAATGATCGACAATATTTCTAATTGCACATCGTATCAAATTGAATCGAATGCGACTCTCGATTACGATGACGAAGAAGAATCTGGTGATTTCGAAGAGGAAGATGCTGACTCTGCTGATGAAAGCGTTGATCCTAGCTTTGATGAGTCAGCAGAGGCTGAGAATATGACGATCAAAGCGAATTTTAGTCTCGATTATATGAAAAAAGTCATCGAATATTATGATGCACGTGACTCACAAGGAAGAAGAAAACACACATGGAAGTCTACTCAACACCGATTCAAATCTGTTCCTCACCGACAATATATTACTCGTTTTCGTCACTACATTGAACAACATGGTACTAAACGAGAAAAGTTACAAATCATCGATGATTTTGTGTATGACATGTTTGAAGAAGCTCGAGATAATGTTTTACCTGTTCATGATAGAGATTTAAAACGATGGGCACTACAAAAAGCTGCTGAAGATTCAAGTCTTATATTTGAAGCATCCGAGTACTGGTTGCGAGTCTTCAAACATCGTCATCGTATTTGTTCGAGAAAAATTACAAAATTAGTAACTCGTCATCATGCAGAAGACACTGATGCTATTATTGAATCTGCAGATTCATTTGTACGTGATGCTAAAAGACAGATGCAGAACTATACACATGAAGAAATTCTAAATACTGATCAGATCGGATTGGAATTAGAGCTTTACTCCAGTAGAACTCTTTCGTATGAGGGCGAAAAGGTTACTATGACACGTGTCAGATCAAAAAACGCTACGACACATTCTTACACAGTCCAACCCATGATATCTGCTGCTGGAAAATTGGTCGGTCCTGTCTTTCTTTGTTTGAAGGAGCCAAAAGGCAAGATGAGTGAAAGTAAGTTAATCTACCATTTATCTCATATGTAACTCACTAATTCATATTTTATTAGATATAAAAAACAAATTATTTCCTGCTTCGAATGTCGTTGTAACATGCAGCTCTTCGGGAAAGCTTACCACTTCGTTAGTTGAATATTGGAGAGATCATGTACTTCGTAAGTCAGTTCCATCGCAATTTCTTTTACTCTCGGACTATTGGCCTGGTCAAAGAGATGCAGATATATATTCCGCTATTAGAGGATGTAAAAGACTAGAAATCCCGGCTCATACAACGTCACGTATTCAACCACTTGATGTCTTCTTTAACAGACAATGGAAATTGATTGCTCGACGTATTTTCGATCATGTTCAACTCGATGATATTGCAATTAACTTGTCTGAAAGAAATAATGTCATTCGTTTAAACTCTCTCATTCACAATCAGTTATCCTCACATCTGTTTGTGCCTATGATAAAGTACTCATGGTTTGCATCAGGTTACATCGACCAACATCCGGGAGCTTTTCAGACTGTCAATGATATTTGCTTTGATATCGACAGCAACTTTTGTCAACAGCCGAACTGTAACTTACTCTCGTTTATTCAGTGCAGTTACTGTCGTAAATTTCTTTGCTTTGAACATTTTTTTGAAGCTTATCATTTTCATAATTAAGCATTTTATTTTTATCTGTTAGACTCAATAACTTCGAATAATTCATCGCATATAATAGAATTAATATCACACAGCTATAGTTCCTCAAAAGAATGATGAAGATCCCATAAGAGATAACTTCCTGAAATATATTTGAGCTTGTATTACGTTTTTGTTTGCGATATTTTGTAGTGGTATACCAGTCAGAATCGTTATACTATCAGAAACTTGAAAATTCGATATTTCATGATAGAAAGGCCATGGGCCCAAATCCTTTGGGATTTATTCTAGTCTAGAGATCCCCTATATGTGCCATAAATATGAGCTTAAAAGGAGGGAATCACCTCAAACGGTTCCCTCGTCAGTTGTCAAGTATGTTGCGTCACGTAGTTTATAATAAGAAATTACTTTCTGCAACTGTTCAGGATTTATATCACGTTGTTGCTCAATTCATTTTCTCTCGTATATATGTAGTCTCTCTCTCTGTTGGCTGATAGTTTTTGGAAGTATGCTGATCTTCAACAGATGAATGAACTGAAAGATATGACTACGAACCAGAAACATTATGTTTACTTTTTCATTGACGAAGGATGAGTTAGGAACCAACTAACGGATAAGTAATTATGCCTAGGAAAAATTAAAAAAGATAACAAAAAGGAAGGGGTGTGGGTGTGGGTTTGAAGTGCGATGGTGGGGAATGCTGTGGGCGTATGTGTGTGGTATGAGGTTGAATGTCAGTGTGGGGCTGTAGGAGAGGGTGCAGATATATTGTGTGTGCATTTGAATGGAGGATGTGACACATACTCTTTCACCTCACACCCAGCTGCACACCCTTTCCAACCCGTCGGAGTTTTTAAAATTTTGAAGAATGAAATTTTAAATACGTTTGAAACAGATTTGAAAATGAGCATTGCCTCGAGATTTATCATTGCTTTATCATACTGGACCATGTTTGAATGAGAGTCAATGATTACCCAAAATCAGTTCTGAAGCGCTGTTGTGCTTTCACGGAAAAATACTAGCATTTTGATGTGGCTTCACACGTGTGTGACTAAATTACTCGCTCTGTTTTGAAACAAAATCATAATTCAATTGCCAATAATATTTAACCCAGTGTCAACTTACTTTTACCAACTTTTGATGAATCCAACGATGCAAAAATAGGCCCACTCGTCAATACTTTTGATTTCTTTTCGCAGAAAAATAATAATTGACTTCTGCAACTATAGAAGTCAATCTGTATTCGATTATTGTATTACTTTGTGCTACACTGAAGCCAAATTAATTTTGTCACAGGTAGGAATACAAGCAGCATTAATAGCAGTCTAGGGGTGACATTTTATCTTTATTTTGCCAAGTTTAGTAAGAGACATATAATTTATTTTACTGGTTAAAGTAAAGAAAAGTAAAATACTTTAGCAAGTTTATTGTTGAATCAGTAGTTTATTGACATACTTTGATAACGATTCAATACGTAAAAGCCTATTCAAAATTATATATCTATTGGATAAGTGAAAAATACAACAGGCGCAAATTAAAAAATAATATTTTCAATTATTGATAAGTCGAAGCTTCGCTGATTCTCTTCGTACTATGAGTAACATGTAATTTTTACTCTTCCAGCTGACTGGAGCATCTATGTTTTATTTCGATGAACTATAGGCGCTTTGAAAAGAATAGGTAATAAGTTTAATTTATAGTGTATGCACTTATTTTGCAACTCCTTAACACAATTTTGTGGGCTATCGTTGCAGATTGTGGGATTTTCTAAATATTTCGTTGACGTTTTTATCTGCATCAACCGATCGCTAAATTAGTAAAGCGAATAGCAATAATTTCTTAACATATTATTTTTTTTACTTTAACGATGTTAATCATTTGAAGGCAGTCTATTTTACAAAAGAAATAAAACTATAGTATTTGGATTAATTAAAAATTGAAAATTAAACCGTAATTAGTATCCAAAAGTAGAGACAAGGGCCACGATTCGATCAGAAACCTATAAAACTACAATTCTTTATAGAATCGATGGCAGATAAAAACTAAAACTTTTGAAAGAAAAATATTATAAAGTAGAATGCATTGCCTTTTTAAACAAGCTCATATCAAGAATTGTGTGAATTTAGTCTGTTTAGTAAGAGATCAAATCTTTAGACTTTACTAGTGTTCTGGACACTCAGAGCAACTAATAGATAAAAATGTTCACTGTAAAATAAGAATTAAAACAGGTAATGAATATCAGGAAGAAGGCTTATTATACCCAATCTTCTGTAAGAAATAATTTAAATTTATTTGCAAAACGAGTACCATAAAAACAGCAGCAGTTTCCGCGATTTATGTTTTCAAGATTTTTTGAGATTTTTCTACAAAAATTCCGCTGCATATAGTATCAAGAGACGGAAGAGATGGGTAGAAGACAATCCTCGAAACCGGTGCGATATTGCCACTATCTATAATTAAATTTTACCTGACCCCAAGTGGAATGTCATCAAGTAGTTTCAAACATCTTCGTTGTATCATTTGCTTTGTAGTAGAGCTCTATCCAGTTTACTTTACTTTCATAACTTTATAAAATAAAATAAAAATAAAGTGCCATTCTTACTCACGCTCTTCATCTTCTCGGTCACATTCTAATATTTTCTACTATGGATCTCAAAATTTCTCTTGTATTTTTCTAGGTTTGAATATTATTCCGATGTTTCTTTAAATGAATCGAACGATGTGTTGTCTAGACGCCAATATAGGTAGTAAAGAAAAAGCTTGCTAGTGCACCCCCTTTGAGATAGAAATGTGGAACTCTCATATGTTCTTCAGCTTCATTATGCTACTACGAAATATAGAAAGTGTAAAACCAAAAACAACCATCGAACTAAGGGGCAAATAAGGCTATTATAACTTACCTTCATTATTTTCTTCGAAAACATATGTGAGTCTCACAAAAACAGCAAAGCTCTAAAATGTCAATAGGTGCAAAATGCCGCTTTTTCAATTTCACCTTGTTTTATTCCCCATTTATCTATCAGATGTAAAATTTTGAATAGGCTCTAACGTATGAGACGCTTATCAAAGTATGATGATAAACTACTCAATCAACAATAAGCTTAACTAGGGTATTTTACTTTACTTTACTTCTTTGGCTTACTTTGCTTTATCAGATAAGCGCGGAATTAAACTGTGTACTTTACTTTTTTACAGTGAAATAAAGATAAACTGCCATTCCTATAATATGCTTTTGGCTTTCGCCGGCTGACTTTTTATCGTCAAGATTATTATGTATTGGACTATATTTTGGCATAGTAGTTTTACTTCTTCATTTACAATTCAATTTTCATTGCCAATTCGAGTGTGAGAATTCTACGTTATAAAAGTTGTAAACTGAAGTCAAAAAAAAATAACAGCTCGTGAAGCTTTGGGTTCAGCCATTCATATTTAGAACTATTCAAAAATATGTCGCTGTGATTTCACAACTTGATTGTTTTATTGCTCAGATCCCAGTTATATCCTAGGAATTCAACAGGAAATTTAGCATAATATCCGTTCAATTCTGACCTCGAGTGAAATTTCGTATGCTTTTATTCTTTTCGTTTGTAGAACAGCCATCTTTTAATCCAATCATGGCGATAAGTTTTTTCAGCCCATAGTAGATTATCGGCATGGATATTCTTTTAATTTGCAAACTCGATCTTTTCGTGTTTTCTAGAAATGGCAAAACTCACGCGTTTATTCTACGTTGCAACTGCTATTTTATTGATGATCGTCGTATTAGAAACGGCTTCAACACCAATCGAGCTTCACAATCCCGAACCAAGAATTTCGTTGAGTCAATGCATGACAGCATGCCGTGCTGGCGTAACAGCCATGGAAGCTTTTTGCCGTCTTATACCTCATCCAGCAATTCGAGCTGGCTGTTGGGCTATTAGTCTTTATGCTGGTACTCCAAGTGTTGCGATGTGTACTGGATTCTGCTACAACTATTTTGGATCCAAAATAAATCATTCCAGTGATGTGTGATAAAAAGAGTTCCACGATTGACGAAAGGAGAACACCATGTATTCTGAATAAAAAGCTTTGAACTTACACGTTCTATCATAGCAATTGGAGAAATAATCTATGAAACAAATTTTCTACTCCCCAAAGTATCTATAACCTAAAGCATGCTTTTCTCTTATTACTAAAATATTGCAAGTTATGATGTTGCAACTATTTCTAATTTTAATTATCTCTCGAAATTGACGATTGTCAAATGCATATACATACAAATCTAGGCAAAATATTGCGCAAGATAGAGGCATATTTAATGACTTCGACCATGTTTCTGGAGATCAATTAAGCCAATTTTATCTTTCAAAGAAAATTTATGTCTGTAGGGTGTGAATGTAGGTGGATATGAGTGTGGGTGCGATGGTGTGGGTGAAAGGTTAACCACAGTCGTACCCACACACTCATCCACCCCACGCCCCACACCCATATCACCCGCACTCACTCTTACTCCCACGCAAATACTGAAGTAACGTGTTGGTAATTTCCAACAACGATAAAATGTGTGCTGATTATCTCTTATAAGAGATATGAAAAACAAGTTTGCATAGAGCAAAATGATCCACGTTTTTCAAATTTTCTCGGCCGATATCACTTTTTTTCCGAAGTAATACTAACATAATGACAGATATCTCAGATTGTATGAATCACGAAAATGTGCTCTTATAATTTTCATATAGACGATATAAATCTAGCTATAGGATTCAATCTCAAAAATATAGTTATTTCTAGCTGTGGCCTGAAGACAAAGTCGATCAGATACAGTTAAGCCCACATTCAATAACAAAGAAGATATGAAAAGTACATATCGAAGTGAAGCACTAAGTAAAGCAAAAGAGGCTAATGATATAGCAAGAACTCAATCTCCAAAATCAACAAAATTTGTAGCTGAAGTACGCCTTGGCTTTCTAACTGGTAATCAATTGAGAAAGTATGATTATAGAAGTCAAAAATGAGAATCGGTCAGTGTTCAAGAAAATTCAGAGACGAAATATCCAGATGATGGACATCTACTCTCCCTAAGGGGAAAAAGCGAGACTTCAGGTTTTTTCAGTACGAGTGGAGTACGCACTCTTGAAGTCTCGCTTTTCTTTCTTGACTCTGCCTCATTTCAATACTGGCCCAACTGGTGGAAAATTTGATCAACATCATTATTTTGAGAAGACGAATAAAAAATAAAAGCAATCAACTTAAATAATTCTGTTTATTTTATATTAATTTAGATCATTTTACCCTGCTTAGAGATTTCGTTATTTTGTCGTTAAAAACTCTCGATGAGAAATAAAGATATTTCTATTCATGTGGTGATTTCAATGATTGGCAGATATGTAAACGCATTCATGTCAAACAGTGTGACATTTCTAGCAGAAAGACATCGGTCACGATTCAATATATTCATGGAGAGACAATTTTGCACGAACAAAACGTCTCTTGATTAGGACTTCGTTTTGATAATCAATATATTAGTGTTAATAATAATCAAATGACGCCACTTGTTACAAGTGGAGTTACTTCAGTTTTTTTAAAAAATTATGTGATGAAATCTTCAAATGCAGATCAATGGATGTGGCCAGAACGTTTCACTCGAACGCCGTCTTGAGGTAGGCTATCACTATCAGCATAGTGAAAGCTGCAGAATCTTACTGAATTTTGGAAGATTCCATAGCATCTCATATCGTCATTGCATTGAAGGATTCATGTGTTTTTATGTTCTTGTTCATTGAAATATAATAGCTTCATTCAGTATCAGTGAATCGAGAGAGTTCATCAATTGCACGTTTTCTAGTAGTATCATCACTTGACAATTAGCTTTCTTTGTTGAGAGAAAATTCAAATGGTGATATATGTTTTAAAATAGCATGGCTGAAAGCCTTTGCCATTGAAATGTCCATGAGATGAATTAATCGATGAAAAAAATTGGTTGACAAGTACAATTTTGATCATGTAGACATTAGTCAGTATTTAGCTTTCTTAACCTCTCAAGAATCAAATTGATGCTGACTTTGAATTTGATTCATGTGACTTAGTGAAATGATGGCACATATTAAATTAACAGCATTTCTAGTATAATATGTGTAGTCGGTCCATTTCTGCTCAACGGGCCACGGTCATGTTACTCTATCCCTAATTTCTATGAATAGAACTATGCGGGGAGTCTTATTTTCATGAACTTTAACTTCCAACGTTTCTTGCGATCGGTATAGAAATTGCAAACATTGTTTGAAACTATCCTCTCTTCATACAGAAATCTTTGTGTGATCTTGGAAAAGTCTACTAAGCATGACATATGTGGGAAAAGAAATTTTTAATTGAAACTTCCTGATTAAATTTTAGTACAATTCGTCTCTACTCGTCCAAAATGCATTTGATAGTGTAACGGTTGTCCCATGAAAAATGAGCTTCTCAGTAATTCGGCAACACGTCTTTTCAGATTTTATTGCTCAATGTTCACACATCAAGAAATAATTTTCATTCAATTCTTTGCAAAACCATATGCAGAAAATTGATTAAAAACGTAACTGTCAAAGCATATATTCTTCAAAAAGGCTCTTTTTCAAACTCAAATTTTCAGCAAATCAACTATATCTGTTCTACTAACTACACAAGCATCAAGCCAATCAATTACTTCTAAAAAAAGAATCAATTTTGCTTGAGATCGTTAGACTTCTCAGTTTTGATTGCTTGTTAAAATATTCTAGAAAAGAATGACACGAAGTAACCTACTGATCACGAATATCCTTTTCAGAAATTCGAATACCGGTCAATTTAAAGTCAACTGCAATTAAATGTTGACCCAACTTTTGCTCGATCCTTTCTGATTTCAAGAATGACAATAGAACAGTTCTATATATAACTCAGTCAACTCGTGATACAATCGATCAGTGATAGATTCTTCACTTTGAAACAATGTTAGCAATTAATCGAATGTAAAGTATTTCACGTTACCAAAGCGAACCAAAGCATTGGCAAGTTCTCAGTATTACTTATCTTAATGAGTCAAAGATTTCTCTGAATCATATGGCCATCTCAAAAGTACTTCAAATTTACTATTTGTATCATCTATTGATCAGTCATCATATTTTGCTTCAATAAAAATAGATACTGTTCGAGAATATCATCGACAAAGTATGAATAAAAATTGTATCTCCTCCGAAGTTATTACTCTTCTTTATGGTCATTTTCAGTTAGTGTTATTAGTCAAAACAATAATAATAATAATAAATATAAAGATTATTTATTCAATATATGTAAAATAGATATTGTTGCTTTGAAATTTAAAGGTAATAAATGGCATGCATTAAAAATATATTGAAAAAGAAACAAATTGGTTTGCTAGTTATTATATAAAATCATGGAAGAAGTCAATACCAACAATAGACGAAGAAGAATGCAATAAAATGATCGTACTCTAATAAGAAAAAGCAAATCAATCTTTTTTTGTGGTTATTACTGGTAAAAATCGTTCTATATCACATCGACCAAGTTGATAATCGACTGCTAATTGTACCTAAATAAAAGAAAAAGAAAAAAGAATATAGATGTTACAATTATACATCTTACATGTAATTGTGTTGAATCAAATAATGGCAAATGAGGAACTTCATTTTGATGAACCAGTTGAGGAATTTCTAAAACAACCATAGAAAAATATATTTCATTGTTTTTCTTTTGTGATTATCTTACCCGTACAACCGAGTATAATTCCTTCAACTTGTTGTTCATCATATAAACGTTGCATAGCAGATATATAAAATTGTTTTGATTCAGTAGTAAATATATTATTAATTAATTCAACAATAATAATTTGATGTAGACGATCTATATCTTCATTACGAGGTAATACAATATCTAAATTATGTTCTAAAAGACGTTTAACTACACAACTGTCTAATTTCATTGCAAATTTTGTTCCCAAAAAGCCGATCTATAAATAAATGAATAAATTAAAACATTTATTAAAGTTTTGTAAAAAAAAAAAAAAAAAAAAACCTTTTTTAATTTTTTTTCTTTGATAGCAAATGCGACGGCATCGCTTATATGAATAAAAACAAGATTTGGATAATATTCAGTTATTCGAGGTGCAGCAATATGACCTAAGATAAAGGTCAATATATAGGCAAAACATACTAATAATATTTTACCTGTATTAGAAGCAATAAGTAAAAAATCGATACCACTTTTAACTAATTGATGAACAGCTTCGAGAAGATTATTCACAACTTCAGCTGTTTGATTTTTATTAAATAGTTCAATATAAGGAAAAATATCAACTGAAACAATATGAATACAACTGCCATGGCCAGGTAATGATTTACCAATGAGTTCATTGATTTGATTGTAATACTGTGTGAGAATATAAGTATTTGATAAAGGAAAATATATATATATATATACATATGAATACTTAATTAATCACTTACATCAGTTGTCGAGACATAGGACAAACCACCCAGAAGTCCACATATACGTTGCTTCACTTTATTATCCATTTTTTAAGTGAAAGTGAATACAAGTCAGGACGAAATGATTTTATTAGTTACCATCATTACTCGACATAAATCGAAAAAGCTTTGCCATACATTGTCAGTACTTCAAATGATTCGACTATTTGCTTATAGATAAAGGAGATGTTGCAATAAAGTCGTTTTATTGCCTGCAATATTTTCAATTCTTTTTCAATTGTGTATGAGCCAGAGAGATATAAGACGCATTTCCTATGACTTAGTTCTGTGCCATTTTGAAATAATCCTTTTGATTCGCCGAGGGATTCCAATATTTTTCAAATTCTTTTAGAAGTATATGCACTAGACACAGTTTTTCACAGTGATTAGAATTGTGGGTGTGGTAGAAGAGAAGATCACATTCACACTCACCTAACACCCACATGCTCTATGGATATTTTGCTAGCTCTTACAAAAAAAAGCTCTATTTAAAAAGAAACTCAAATAAAATACCCACTCCAAACAGTGTCTAATACCTGTAAAAATATTTTCAGCTCGATCGAACATAGCATCTTGTAGAAACGTGAGGCGAATATTAGGTGCCAATTTTCGTTATTATGACCCTACTATCTCAAAGAAGACAGCATCCAGGAATTTTGAATCTATAGAAACTTGTGTTCTACTCATCAAGATTTACGTGCCCTAAAAATTTCAATTCTTTTTTCTAATTTAAATGAAGGAGATATGTTAATTTTTAGAAAAGACAATGTAACGGCTATTCCTCATATATATGGACTAGTAATTGTAACTTAAAAGACTTCAAAACATTAAATAGTGGCTATTTTTCAACAGGATCTGCATGCGAAGTTGATGATAGTGATACAGAAGAAAATTCATCGACAAATAAACAACAAAAAATTAAACAATGAACTGTTGTAACAGATTTTTAAACTTATTTCTTACAAAACAATTGTTATCGACTAGTAACATCGAACATTTCTTTGATAGATTTTTATCATTTAATATAGAGAATGATACCAAAACTGTCAAAAAAGTGTCAGGTCATTCTTTTTTTTTTAATGAATAGTGATTTTGAGGGTATATTTGCGAAATAGACGAAGCAAATATCCATAGCGATCTCCTCCATACAACAATCGTGAATAAATCTGACTGTTCATTAACATGTATCGTAAGTTACGAGAGGAGATCGATCAAAGAAAATACATTGGTTTAATAAATTGCTCTGAATGCAGTGTTTGAATGTATCGTTCTAATTCAATTAATTTAAATAAATTCTACTGTCACTGAAGAGCAAAAGGCTGGTATATTTTGACCACGTGGTCTGACGCTTTTACTGCTGATAAAGGAATGCACATGGCTTATAATCCTAAACAAATCATTGCTAAAATCAGTTGACCTATTTATAATTGACTTGAATGAAAATCTTTAATCTTTGACGAGTTATGAAAAGGAATATATTTATTCCCTTGATAAAGAGAAACAGCATTTAATTCCTTTCGATCAATTCTCCATACTAATATTGTCTAGTCTTGTATTTATCTTAAAGATAAAAGAATGTGGGTGTTGGTCTTCGATTTATCACGTCACATTCACATCCTGCGTGTTATGTACAGAGAAAAAAAAACAAACATTTGACAATGATGATGTAAGGACCTAATATTTAGGAATTTGTTCGTAATACACACTCATTTATTGCATAAGAACAAATCAGCTATTTGTCTAATATATTCCTGCATCAGGTAACTTTGAATCAAATTGAAAAACAACGGTTAAAATTTTCACCGAATAAATCTCTTAATAGTATGAAAAATTAGGCTTTCTTATTAAAAAGTTTCTCACAGAATATGTGAAAATTATCACTGTATTGTTCAACAAGTGTGCCTATAAGGAAAGTGTATGCGAAGCTAGTAAACACGCAAAAGTAACCTATTTATCTAAGAATGACATATTCTTCGAAGAAAACAGACTTCGACCAATAAGAAATATTCACTGATCAACAAATTAGGTTTCACAACATATAGGCGTTTACAAATCCGCATTTTGTCAATCTACAAAAATTTATGTCTGACTGCGGTAGCCAATAATCGTCCCATGATATTGATGTTTGTTGATTTTCTCTGAGCTTTTGATAAAATGGGTATATCAGTGGCTTCAAAGTCGATCTATGGCCATATATCACAGAAAAAATGTCAAAATACATTTATAGGTACTTCATAAGATTTAGTTTTAGCAGAGACTCTTTTTAGTGAAAGGTACATTAGAAAAAAAATCTATCTCAAGATATAACTGAATTAGAAGAACAAGCTAAAATAGTAATGAATACACTTTGAATCTGTTCAGAAAATTATTTATTCACTACCTGTTAACGTGAAAAAAACAAAAGTAATGTTAATCCATAGGACAGTTACTCTAAGTAAACCAAAAGTCTTCTTTCAAAATCAACCGATTGAGTTTGTATCCTATTTCAAATACTTAGAAGTAGAAATCCGTTCAAAACTAGAATGGTTTAATTACATCAAATCTCGTATATTAAAGATTCGAAATACCTATAATGCTCTGAAACAACTATTTCGATAAATTCCCATCAAATTAATAGACATTCAAACAAGATTATTCTATGCTTTCGATCTACTACACCTCATTTGGTTCTTTGTAACTTGGTTGTATTTTACAGAAATTCAACAGAATGAACTAGAACTTTTTTATGCATCTGGATTACGTATCGTGTATGAACTTTGAGGATGGAAAGACTAAACTGTATTTGTACTGTTGAAATAAAAATCTCTTGAGGATTATTTATATACCTATTGGTCAAGAAGGATAAAACATTTATATATAGCTGCTGAAGCCCTAGAATATCAACAATCTTGGGAAGTTTTTCTCATTGCCACATCTCTAAATCGAGTTTATTATAAGTCAATGGGCTTTATACAAAACATTTTTTTTCAATCACTTGACAACAAGGGCTCATCATGTGAATTTGGATCTTTTCATATTTCTCTGTATGTACCAAAGCCAATATGAAATTTGTTTTTGAAAGATCGTCCTTTGTATTAACAAGGTTTGTATATAAATCCTTACATCTTCCATAATTCTATTATGTTCAATCGTGACAGCATGATAATTCATTCCATTCCATTATCACTCTAATGCTTAACTATTTCCACTTATTTGACCTATTTTTCTTCTTCTCTTTCATTGTTTAAACTGCATCACCAGCACCGTTTTCCTTTCTCTATATCTATGTATTTCATATGTCCAGAGGAGAAGATGATAGCTGAAAGAAATAGAATTAGAAAGCAGTTGTTCTTCGTTATGGTATCAAAGTTTGTTAACCCTACGAGGAACAATAAGCTTACATAAAAAGAAAAAATTTATTGAATAATGTTCCATAGCAAACACACAATTAATATCACTTGTGCTCATGAATAAAAAGAAGTGGTTAGTTTTAATAGTTATATCGAACAAGATTATAATTAGAAAAGATCAGATCAGGACAGTATTCTATAAAAAATGTAAGTCAATCGGAAAAGTTGTCTTTTGGTTGTTCTTGTGCCATATAAGCTCGAACAAGTATCGATCCACCAGGTTCAAGGCGAGAAAGTTGTGCAGGACAAATCAATGGAGTTGAAATATTCTCACTTGGCATCACATTAATTGAGAGCTGCGACATGAATGTAGTTTGTGTCATTGTCAGAGATGGAATATTGAAAGGTGAAGATGATAGAAATGAATCTTCACGAAATGAATCTGTCGCTTGTGTTTGCGGACTATTATTAATGTATTGTAGCCGATAGTTTCCTAGATTCTCATTAGATATTTTACTACTATTGCTAGGCGAGTGACCATTGCATTGTCTTCCGCATACTTTACAATAATCATGGTCGTCTTTCCAAAACCTCCGGCGCAATGCTTTCCTGAGAAAAAAAACACATTAACTGTAAAAACACAGATATAACATATTTCTACGTACCAGAACACTCCTGGACAGCATCGACAACAAAGACAAGTGGTCAATATGCTCAGGACGAGACATAGTGAAAGACCAAGACCTAGACCTAGTCCAAGTACAAGATAGAGATCATTAGACGATTGGGTAGTGAGCATTTGTGAGAGCGATGAGGTAGTCGTTGATGTAGAAGTTGTTGTAGTCGAGGTAGTTGGTGATGTAGAAGTTGTTGTAGTCGAGGTAGTAGTGGTCGTAGAAGTTTCTGTAGTCGAGGTAGTAGTTGATGTAGAAGTTGTTGTGGTCGATGTAGTTGTGGACGTCGAAGTTGTTGTCGTTGAGGTAGTAGTTGATGTGGAAGTTGTTGTCGTTGACGTAGTTGTGGACGTCGAAGTTGTTGTAATTGACGTGGTTGTAGACGTGGAAGTTGTTGTCATTGAGGTAGTTGTGGACGTCGAAGTTGTTGTTGTTGGGCAAGTATCAGGTGAATTTATTACAGTAAAATTCACACAATATTGGTCAGATGTTAAATTTCCGCTAATTAACAAAAAAGATATTAAAATGTATGAAAATCTAAATAAGAAAAATTTTACGTTGTCAATGCAGTTGTACATAACTGCTGCAATCCAACTTGATTTATCTGTGGCGTCCAAGTAAATCTGACATAGTAGATTGATGTATTTATTGGTGAATTTGTGAGATTACTACGAGTCATACCAGTAATTCCATTTAAAACAATAATATCAGCAAGTGTATCCACGGTTAAATCGCATAAATTCATGGCAGATATACTAAATGTGATTGAGACGCCGACTTGCACTTCTAGACAACGATTTAGAGGGAAAATTATAGGTTTTTTTGAACAAGATGATTGAACATAAATTAAAAATTGAACTGGTACTGAACTCATTGGTGTCATACTTGTTCCATCAATAAAATCTTCGACCTGTAGTAAAAGAAATGATCATTCTACGCTAAACATAAATATTAGATAATGTCATAAATAATCTGTCGTAATTTTATAATAAAAATTATAACATCGTTTTTTTTCTTGAGATTGTTGTCTCATATAGAAGTTACGAATCAATTATCTCACCAAGAAATAATATCTATATCTAATACAGTTGATATTAGATAGTGTTCAAATTAGTGAAGTAGTTCAACAACAACGGAATACTGTTATCATCTAACAATGCCATGACCGTAGTTAAAGAATAAGTGACCTATGAATAACAAGCTGTTTACCTGAATAGCAACTGCGTACCAAGCGTCAGCTTTAAAACCTGTGAATGTGATAGCGCAGTTGGACAGAGTTGTACCGCTAGGCACACTGCCTGGATAACAAATATCACCACATTCATCAATGGCCTGACGAATGGGATATGACGAAGTTGATTTCGGTGTACCTGGAGATTCGGTACTAGTTGTATCTGTTGTGGTTGTCGTGTCGGTCGTGCTTGTCGTATCGGTTGTGGTTGTCGTATCGGTTGTGGTTATCATATCTGTTGTGGTTGTCGTGTCGGTCGTGCTTGTCGTATCGGTTGTGGTTGTCGTATCGGTTGTGGTTATCATATCTGTTGTGGTTGTCGTGTCGGTCGTGCTTGTCGTATCGGTTGTGGTNCGGTCGTGCTTGTCGTATCGGTTGTGGTTGTCGTATCGGTTGTGGTTATCATATCTGTTGTGGTTGTCGTGTCGGTCGTGCTTGTCGTATCGGTTGTGGTTGTCGTATCGGTTGTGGTTATCATATCTGTTGTGGTTGTCGTGTCGGTCGTGCTTGCCGTCTCGATTGTATTCGTAACGACTTCTATTGCACACCCTCCAGTATCATTACATGTCGAACCACTACATGCTGTGGAAACACAACCAGTACAGCTGCATGCACAGCCATATGCACAAGTAGCGTTGCAACCGTCGGGACAGTCTCTTTTTTTTCTAATATGAATCAGTTCTCTATCACTGGCTACTTTTTTATAAAAATTAATATCAGGTAGATGCTTAATATGTTCTTCTTTGTCGGATCGTTTTCGTCTTCGAGATCCAACTGTATATGTTGACCAACGACAGCGTACGTCATCATCAGCATTGGCATCCGAAACAGGAATATTAATTTGTATTGTTCTATTTACAACGGCATATTGTGGAGAAACAACTTTGGCAACAGGTGGAGTATTAATTAAACCATCTGGCCGTTTTCGGAGATCAATATGTGTTAAAATAGACCAGTCAAGACCTTGTTCAGCAGGATCATTTAATGCTACCCAGGCACTTCCTCTGTACGCTAGATAAAAATGTGCATCAGCAGACAGAGTTATATTTTTCGATCGTTGACTTGTCATCATTTTCAATGATAAATTAGTTGATGTACAATCAGTGAGAATATCAATTGGTGCACTAGAATAACCACCATCAGTTGAACAGTCAACAGCACAAATCAGATTAGTGTTCGCACCACTAAATGTACCAGTCGATATTGGCACGTTTGTGGCACACTGTATGTATGGATATGTCCATGAATAAGACTGTGTAATAGTAATACCAACTGAAGTGGAATTATCATAAGGATCAATGGGTGCCCAACTGATAGTTCCTCCATTGAAGTGTCTTCCATCAGTAAAAACGAAAGAACAAAACAATATGAAGAGAACCAAACACATTGTTCTTCACTAACTAGATCAATCAGTTGGAATCTACAAAAGTCAATGTCTCTAAGAATATCATATCATGAAAAACAACTGTTAACAGCCAATGGGAAAATATTATAAATTCATTCTTTAATAAGTAAAGTATGCATTGAAAAATAACTTCTGCCAATAAGATATTTTCTCAATGAACGAAAACAAAAAGAACAAGATAAGCTGTCTGATCAAGTTTGAAACGATATAATTTTTTTAATTGAAAAAGACGATATTGTCCATCTCGGTAACAGTTCTGAATACCAATATGTATTACTTGCTTGTATATACGATTTCTATCTTTAAAAACATCCAAGAAATAAAAATATCAAAAAGAAATTCATGACTTATGAATTTTGTACCTAAATCACGAAAAAATTGATACTTTGAAGAACGAAAAGGACATCAAAATAGATGGGGTATGAATGTGTGTACTGATTTTCTCTTCACCCACACTCCACATTCGCCAAATTAAGTAGACGAGCTTAAATAAGGCCATTTTATATTTTTTTAAATTTAAAAACAAGTTTTTCTCATTGTAAAGGTTTAGAAAAAACTAATGTATGCAAGAAAATGTCAACTGCAAAAAGAAATCACAAATCTTTTATATTGAAAAGAAATTAATTTTTAATATCATGATCTTATTTAATTTAAAATCAAATTAATTCATTTATAATTAAAACAAAACAACATTTGTGTAATCTAAATTAATTTTTAAATTGTAAATGAGGATGTATATCCAAAATAAAATAAAACTATGACACAGCAAATATTTTAATTATTTTTAAAATAAAAGAAAAAATATTAAAGCCAGCACTTGCCTGTAACAAAAATTTAAAAAGAAATGAAATCATACATTATTAATCAAATAGACTTATTGTGCGACAGAAAAGAAAAAAATAAGATTTTATTTAAATTTTCATTTTCATTTCGAGCATCTTATGAACGTAGTAATTGATGTCTCAAATCTTGTATTTGTTCAAAAAATCAAGTGTGACCTTAAATATCCACCTACATGCAAGCGCTTTTGCCAGAGTAACTAACCTTTAATATCAATGTCACAAGTTGGGTAAACGAAGCCCCTCCTTGAAGAGCCATAACTCATGTTCGCCTCTGTATATAAAATGATTATATTTATTTATGATATGCTCTTGTACAGCTACGTGGAATAGTTATGTAACCCAATGACAACAACTAACGATACCACAGAACCTCTATATAGCATAATCCAATCTAAATTGTAATTTATGATTCAAATAAATTTTTTTATTCTGCCCTTTCTCCCATGTTTATAGGTCAACCCGATCTCAGTTATAATTTATAGTTTGAATAATCTTTTTTACTTTCGGCTGCAATAGTCCTTATTTTTTTAAACATTTCATGCATATTCGGTCTCCAATTAGGTATCTACTCATAATGTATGATATCCTGGCGGTTTATCGACGACTTTTTTTTTTAAGTCTTGTATTATGATGCATCGTTTCCAAATGGCTGAATATTTGTTAAGTCTGTTGAAACTGACTAAACTGAATTGCTTTCAATATTCACTGATAAAGTTGATGGATCTAAGCCATCTACACTAGTTACACAGCCCAAATCGACAACAGCTATGAGAAAAAATTTTTATGATAGATGATTAGTTAGTTTAAACCAGTCCAAAAAAATAGATGAATGTCATGCCGGATGCAGAAGACGCTTCAGACTATAGTCAAGCCATTTGTCTTCGACGAGTTTTTAATTCTCTAACAAATGGACGAACGTCTTTCTGCTATTTGGACTGCTTAAACTAAAGTCAGTATATTGATAAGTCATGGTTCGGCGGCAGGACATCTGTCAGCTATTAAAGAATGTCGGGTCGGGTGGTCAAATCCATCTGTTGTCTTTGGTTTTTATTCTGTTTCTGTTCTACGGACTAGTCAAAACGTGATTACAGGGTATTTTTGTCAAGATAACTAGTCATTACAGCTATGATAGACATTTTAGACGAGACCTGACGTGTATAGTAGAGATGTACAGGGTAAGCATTTTTCGTATCCTGTACCCTGATCAAGCCGAATTTTCTTACCCTGACCCTACTCTACCCTGCAGGGTAGGGTAGGGTTACCCTGCACATCTTTAGTGTATAGTGGACATTTTGGACTTGTCTTGCCGTTTGTCTTCACTTGTTTTTCACTTACTTGAGTTGCTGAAAATTGTGACGAAAGTCAAAGAAGTTTTTTTAATAAAGAAGCGAATAAGAAATAGGGTACGTCTGCATGTCACATTGAGAGAAACCGTATCAGTGATGATTATTTTGTAATTTAGTTTCAAGTTAATTAATATTCAGTCACTAGCAACGCCTCACTGTGTAATTTTTAAACAATTTAATATAAAAAAAGCAAATCTACTTTTGATATATCAATATGCAAAATCCAAGAAATATATTCAGTATATCAAAAAACAACGCAATCCAATTATTACAAAAACAAAATTCGTTTTACAGAGTATTATCTAAATTTAGTTATGAACATGAAGTTTTCATTTAAAAAGATTTATTGAATATTATTGAATATCTACGAATCTACTTTTTGCGAAAGTTAATATTGATAACAGACAATTCTCATTGAATCGGATATCTTTTCTATAATCTGCTGAATATTAATGACAAAGTTAATAATAGAAATCTAAAGATTTGTAAATTACTTTGAATAATCGATTCTTCTTTTTTTTATTTCAAAATTAAACAGTCTGACCTTCACATTCAGACACACATAAAGTACGTGCTCTGAGAAAATTTCAATGTTAATATGATTCGTCAAGTAATAGTCTTTGGCAAGTTTATACATGTATGTACTTTTTTCCGACAAAACTACAAAATATCATAGCATGTATTATTATGGTATTCATGCCTGTTAATACCTTGATACAATACTTGTTTTTTCTCATATGTCCATAATGTTGTCTCAGTTACTTTTTTCATTCGTTATTCACCAGATAGATTGATCAATAGAAATTTGTTATAGTCTTTCTTATTATTTGAAAGAAAGAAAAAAAATTATGCATTTGATTAAAACTTTTTTATATTCAAGAAATAAACACACTTGTTTGATTTACAGCAAAAATTATAAAAAACTCTTGTGTTCATAGATTAATTGAATTATTTTTAATCAAAACTGATGATGAAACCATGACATACAAGATATTTTTGTATGATTTTGTAGAATAGCAAAATTTAAAAGGGATGGTATGAAAAACTGAACATTATTGTGATTGAATATTTTTTTGTGAAAAGTAAAAAATCTATTGTTTTAACCAATATTAAACGCAACTGTCACAGTAAGAATCAGTCGATAAACCGATATCGATCTCGTTTATGACACAAAATTGCTAATGAAAAAAAGAACATCAGCAATCAATTAAATCAAAATTTCATAAACTAAACTCATCATTAATTAAAGAGCAAAAATAAATTCTTTACTCC